CTAAAGAGAAAAGAGAAAAGAGGTGGTGGGAGGGAATGAAAGAGAGAGGAGAGAGAACAAGAGGGGAGACTGGAGCAAAAAGAAACTCACGCATGTAACTCTGAATGCCCTTGAAAACTCAAAGATAGCTTCTAAAGTATTTCCTGCCCTTTTTCAATCCACTGAAATCATGCTCCATGGCTTTAAACCATGATGAGCTCTAATATTTCCTACAACTCTTTTTATTGTTTATAACCTTGGTCAAGGAACTGGCATTTCTTGGGCTAAACATGTTCTAACTTACCATTCCCTTCCGAGGAAGCTGCTGCCATTTTTCCAGAAAACAAAACAAGTTTAAAAACAAAACAAAACAAAAAAACACTCGCTCAGCTTAGTTATACTTAGCTTAACATATATTTGCAAACTAGTGTTATATAAACAAAATATACAATGATCTCTTAAGAAAAAATTCTGCGTAAGCTGCCAGAAAAGTAACATGTCTTTGAACAGACATTCAATTAATTAAGTATGAAGAGTGTGGCTGCTGTATATTTTCCCTGACTTTTCCATTCACAATGGCATATGCAGTATGTGGCATGCTGCATTCACATACACATGCCTCCACAAAGGCTGCCATATGCATGGAGGTCAATGTCATTTATACAACACCAGAATTCAATTAAGAGGAGATAAAAGCAAGCAGAGGTGGCAGGTGAACATTCAGATCAGGCAGTAGAGAGAACATCTAATTGCAGGGAGCAAAGGCAATAGGGATTCAACTGATCATAGAAAGAATACCCCCTCCCTGGGCCCTCAGTATGTAGCTCTACATCCAAACAATATCAGGAATGGCTGTGAGTTGCTTATTGGAGGGATGGTATTTCTTCATCTGAAATAACGCACTGCATTTATCAAATATCAATCTATCCTAGATACTGTTGAAATCTGACTTATCACCAGAGCATCTTAGTAGAGCTGGGAGAAGTCAGATAGTAAGCTCAACCCCATTCTACAGATTGGTAAATTGGGGCCCAAGGAGTTACAAGAATGACGCAAGGCTGTAGCTTTAGTCAACAGCTGGGCCGAGGGCAGGACTTAGTTTCCTTTTAGTATCCAGTCTATTTATTACTGCACTCTGTATCTTGACTGGCAATCAAGGAACAATATGGATACTTGTTGTGCTGAGGAGCATGGCAAATATTATTTAACATCTAGGGAGTGTCCTCACATCCATTACACTGTAACTTTGACCCTATCCCATGCTGCTAAGAAAGAACTGGCATACAATGTCAGTGGAAATAAAAGAGGTTGCTCCTGCAGACTACCCTTACCAGCAGAGAAGATGCCCAGATTCTGAACACCACCATCCTCTGACAAGACAAACATCCCCTTTTCCTCATTCAGTAATGTGAATGAACAAAATGTCAGGTTAGTCTGTTAGTAGGTGAGTTTGAAATGTCATCTTCTGTCACCTCCTCTCATTCCAAATGTAAAAAGGACCTTGAGTATCCATTCGTCACCAGTGCACTGAGATGTCTTTGCCATTTCTGCTCATCTGGGATCCAAATCCTTGCATCAAAGTCACTGCCACTGCTCTGCTGCCATCCCTTACCATCGCAACAGACACTAGCTGGCTCAGTCCTAAGCCAGCGGATCCACCCCAAGTTGAAAATAGAATGGAATCTACCCGGGATTTATTGACTTTCTGTAGATAGATGGGGTCAAAGGAGAGTCTGTGCTGGCTGTAAGAAGACCCTACAGAGACAACTTAAGATATGTCAGATGTCCCAAGGAGCTGAAGTCTGAAAAATCCTACCTTGTGTACCTCACACAAGCAGCAGACGGGTTTACCAAAAGTTGATGGCAAAATGAATTTTGGGAAGTCAGATAAAATTATCAGAAGCTGAAAAGGATTCACCATACAGCTCCTTTGCAGCAAAGAATGCCAGTATACCTTCCTGATCCCTCTGCCTTGTATGTGCACAATTTATCAAACTTTATAAGGCAGTGTACATTAAGAGTGTATTCTAGTGTATATCTAGAGTGTATTCTAAATTCTATCAATTTTTGGATGCTAGAAGAAGTGTTAGTGTCAACACAGAAGATGGAAGAGATGGAAAGTTCAGAGTGACTGCCAGTGACCAGAGCTAGCCATGCCTGGTGGGGCTCAGGTGCTGAAGTTTTCAGTTTTAGTGTTGTGCCAGCGCTTTGTCTGCAGCTCCACATACACAGGTCCTCCATCCCAAATGGCTATTTGGAAAGATGCTCACTCAAGGGCTTTGCTACAAACCCATAATTCCCATCTTGCCAGAACTGACTTTCAATTCTGAGGGTCCCCATGCACACTCTGCCTTCACGTTCCTCAAAGGCAGCACTGTACCAACATTGTGAGAGACGCACATCTCAGGTATGGCACGTCATTTATACTTGACATGTACAGTCCACCCTCACTGAGGCACATTTCTTGGGGAACAGAGTGAATGGTAAAGTAAGCCATAACAGCTGGTAACAAAACATCACTTTTAAGTTGGCTTTGCTTTTTGTATGTACACCTGAAAGAGCATGTCTGAGAACTCTCTCTAATCAAAATAGTGAAGCCTCTCTGTGCGGAGCTGACTCAGGAGGAGCTGGGAGGCCAATTTCCCCCTCCTGTATTCCTGCTACACTCCTCCCCATAGGTTACTCTTTTTTCAGACTGATGTCTGGTATGCCCTCTTTCAAACATTTCCTGCAGGATGATGGACGAATGTTTGGCTTTCTGAGTGCAACTGTCATGGAAAATAAACAGAAGGCATTAAGAGGTCAACATAACTGAAATAAAACAGGTGTTGAATGTTCCCCACAGGAGGAAAACACGCATAATGGAAGAGCATGTGTTACTGAAATCTTCAAAGTAAGGTAATTTCTTTCTAGCTAATCAAAAGGTGGCTGTAGGCATGTACATTTTTGTAAGCTTCACTACACGGGAAGTAGTCCTATTTTAAAACCACTATCAGCAGCTTTTGTTTTGGAAATCTCTAAAATGCCTTAGGCAAGTCTTGAAACTTAAACTTTTTTGACATACAAGCAACAGTTTATTCAGAAAATGTGATGACCATGCTTGTCTGAGAGCAGTTTCTTCCGGCACATTCTCAAAGAAACAACAGTAAAGACTGTTGGTTACATAGTTTGACCTAAATGCAGTACAGCGCTAACCCCCACAAAATATAAAATAGATCCAAGCCACGACTAAGGCCAAGGGGGAAGGGTCTTTACAATTGATTTCTAAGGACTTACTTTTGACATCTTGCTTTTGCTGTCTCCAGTTAAAAATGCCAAATTATTAATTTCGTTTTGAATCACAAAATTTTGCTCCTCCCTCTTGAAGTTCTAAGTGAGGAGAAATAAAAAAGCAAACATTACAAGAAAGTTTTCCAAGATTTGTACCTTTCATAACTGTCCTAAATCCAGGGCCTAAATGTGTCCTTACGTGAGATTTACACCACAGGATGAAGACCTCTGCCACCATGCGGAATAGCTGGTCAGAATCGGCATCAGGGCTTTTGAGCCAGTTAGATCTGGGTTGAAAAGTAAATGAATAGGTATATGAAATTCAGCGAGGATTAAAATACTCACTCCCTAAAAATTATACCAACATTGGCTACACATATTTATCCAGATAAAATTGTATTCCCTTATGAAGGCAATCATCAGGGAGACTAAATATCAATATACTCCTTACGTTCTTAGATACAGGCATGTCATTGGGGGAAATATTTTTGAAGGAACTACAATAGTCATTTCCATTTTCACTAAAGGATTCAAGGGTCATCTTAGCAAACAGATGCCAGAAATCAACATTTCAAAACTGTTAAAGGTAGGTTTTGCTTCTTCTTTAAACTGGTGAGCCAATGAAAGTTAAGCTCTAAGTTTTGGATCAGCTTCCTTTAATACATATGGTTAGAAAAAACAGGAAAGTCTTGGTCACTATGACCTCTAATCTTGTCTTTGACACTGTCATTGTGAAGCTGAATTTCTGAGCAATCTGAAATTCTGAACACTCTCAACAGTTCATGCTCCACCCTTTTTTCTTTCAAAGCCATTTTTTTGATGAAATTTATAAGACAGTATGTTTTTCACTGTGATTTGAAGTGTATTAGCAGAGACCAAGTACCTCCTATGTCCTCTAAGATGCTTTCGAAATTCCGTATAAATAGGCATTACTCTTTTTTTTAAAAAAAAAAAAAAATCAAGCTAGGTTACGAAATTTCACAGTAGCAGCAATAAGGCTGAATTGCAGTAGAATTCAGTCATTTTCTACAAGTTGTCTTGCCCCTCAGCATCTTACACATTTAAGTTTTATTTCAAAAGGGCTGCCTGAGTTGCCATTTTCAAATATCTGGACAGAATAACTAAAAAGGAAAACACTGTTCCTCTACCTAATGCTTCTGACATATTAAGCAATTCTCCAACTCTCCAGACACCAACTGAATGTCCTACAATTCAGTTATGAAACTATCTGGAGTTAACACAGACCCCACAGGTTAAGAGCTCAATCCTACAAGACTGCCTTTACTTCAGATACCAGTTGCAATTCCCAGGTCAGGAACTGTACTTCCAACCAAATAACTAAAAATCAGGGGTCCCCACAACCCACTTCCTTGGGGTCAATAATTTGAACTAGAATCACACACAGATCTCAGGAAAACACTTTCCTTACTCTTACCAGTTTATTATAAAGGATACAACTCAGAAACAACGAAATAAGAGAGATGCATAGGGCAAGGTATGGGGGAAGGGACATGGAGCTTCCATGCCCTCTCTTGGGGTACCACCCTCCCTGTACCTCCACATGTTCATCAATGCAGAAGGTCTCCAAACCCCATAGTTAGGGTTTTTATGCAAGTTCCATTACATAGGCATGGCTGGTTAAATCATTGGCCATTGGTTATCAAACTCAGTATCTAGTTCCCTTCCCCTCCCCAGAGGTTCCAATCCTCTAATCGCATGGTTAGTTCCTCTGGCAACCAGTCTCCATCCTCCAAGAGTCATTTCATTAGCACGAACTCAGGTATGGTTGAAAGGGGCTTACTATGAATAATAAAAGATGCCCCTCTCGCCCCATTCAGGAAATTCTAAGGGTTTTAGGAGCTCTGAGCCAGGAACCAAGGATGAAGACCAAATATATATTTCTTTCCACATCATATCACAGTGGCACAGAAGTTAAATTGCCTATCTTCTTTCCTAGGTTAAGGAAAAATTTGGCTCTCACAAATGGTCTGGAAAACCTGATGCCTCTTGCCCCTTGCAGGATAACAGCTATCAAAAGCCAGTTCCCTAAGCCCTGAAGCACCAGACTGAATTGCCTTGGGCACCCTGTATCTTCTGTCCATTCATGGAGAACTCAGCTAAGAAAGAAAGCTAAAGACTCAAGAGAGATCATTTTTGGACCCCTCTCTTATCTCCTGAATCCCTTATTGTCCTGGGTAATCTCCCTTGTTTTCCGATTCAACTAGCTTCTCCTTCATATAGTAGTCATTAGTGGTTGTCTACCCAATACTCATTTGCCTCTTCTTCCATAGTAACAAAACCTCATTTTGTTCAGGGTAGCACTGTGCCCTGCCAAAGACCACATCACCTGGCCTCCCTTGGGCTATAACCACATAACTGAGTTCTGATCAATGAGATGAAAGTGGAAGTTGTTGGATGGACCTCCTGGAAAAGCTCTCTAGAAAGGGATCATATAGCAGAAGGTGCCTTTTTGCCACTCCCCTGTTGCTTTCCTCCTTCCTGTCTGGAAAGAAAATATGATGGCTGGACCTCTTGTTGGCATATTACACCATAAAGCAACTTCGAAGGTGAAAGTTGATGTTAAAAATGTAAAGACAAAGGGGACTGGCCAGTTAGCTCAGTTGGTTAGAGCCTGGTGTTATAACACCAAGGTCAAGGGTTTGGATCCTCATACCTGCCATCCGCCCCCCAAAAAAAGTAAAGACAAAGGAGTGAGGTCTTGAACAAGGAGCAGGCAACCACACTGCCCCAGACTGGCTATCTCTGGACCTCTTTTATGTGTGAGATTAAGCTTCTCACTTACTTAAGCCACTGTAGTCAGTTATCCATTACGAGCAGCCAAATGCAATTCAAACTTGAGGCTTAAGTTTGGTAATGCTTTTTGATTTCTTTCATATTGATTTTTCAGGAGTGCTTTTTCAGAGTCAAGTGTCAAATTTTATCAGAAATGCCAGCTGTTCATTCTTTAGTGTTTTGGTTTAAATGAACTTTGCAGGTTTACTATGCCTTGTGTGGAAAGAGGCAAGAGTCATATCTTATCCTGCCCCCAAAAAGAACAGCCACAGGGAGTGTGAGGAGGGAGAGCACCAAAACAAAACCTTAGTTAACATTTCCTGGTGGGATTAAGAAGGGAATTTTGATCTCTTTGCTTTTGTGTGGGAATGCAGTTTCAGCTTCTTCTAAGAGGCAGATCTTTGCTCTTTATCTCTAGTGAGTTTCTTTCTTCAGGTTCACAGTGGTGAGTGTAAGGAACATCTCCTTAAATGTTTTCTCTCAGGCACACAAACTCACTGCACCCTCTCTGCCTGAAGGGATGCAACCAGCCTCCTCTCCCGGCTGCTCCCCATGTCCACAGGATTCACCATCTCTGTTGACATTTAGGAGCTTGATCCTGTTGGGGACAATCTCAGGTGATCTGTGGGTCTCTTTTATCATCTGCACTGCTTGCTGCCAAAGGCAGTTGGAAAATTCAAGGCTGTAGGTGGGGGAGAAGTTTGGGTTTAGAGGTAATGATCTGGGAATCTGCCATATGGAGGTGATGGTAGAATCAACTCAAGTGGATGAAATAACTGAGCATATTAACGGAGAAAATGAGAAGTGTGGGAATAGAATCTTGGGTGATGGCAAGAGTAAGGAGACTCAGACTTCCATTTTAAATTTTAGAAGCAGAGAGTAGGATTGTGGTTACTAGAGGCTGGGAAGGTGAGGGGGCAGACAGAGGTTGATCGGTGGACACAAAATTACAGCTAGATAGGAAAAAAATAAGTTCTAGTGGTGTACAGGAGTGCTAGGCATCTATAATCGACAAAGACTTAGTGTATGTTCTCAAACAGCTAAAAGAGAAGGTGGAATGTTCTCATCAAAAAGAAATGATACATTTTTGTAATGATGAATATGCTAAGTACTCTGATTTGATCATTACACACTGTATACATGTCTTAAAATATAACTCTGTACCCCATAAATATGTACAATCAATGCGTTTCAATTAAAAAAGAAATTCCTAAAAAAAACCAAAAGAGACAAGTTATCAGGTTTTGAAAGAAAGTAAAGCCATGGTCCTGCCTTCACAGTCAGGTTGACTTGGAGGGAAGAGCTTTTCTCAGCCACATTCCAAAACCTCCTGTCTGCTCAGTCACTGCTGAGGAGTTACTGATTCCCCTCAACAGTCTGAGAGATGGCTTTTCACCAAAAATCACACTACTTAAAGTTCATTCCTATGTTCCAAATGTGTCTGATTTCCAGAAAGGCGGCTAAGCTGCTGCCTCTTGCAGAGAGACTTTTTGAATCTGTCTTGACTAACATCTCCGGGCATGAGGAGACGGAGCTGGGCTGAACACTGACCAACGGAGGCTTCTCTTCAGAAGAGTGTCAGATGCTGGAGACACTTTAAACACTGCCTTGACAGGGCTGCAGGAAGTACAAGGGTTTAACATGACGACGAGGAAAAGACAAGATGGCTCCCTTCAATATTTAACTAGCTCCCACAAGAGAGACTGGAATAATGTTGTGTGGCTCAAGAGAGCAAAATGACAGCCGAGGGGTGGGAGTTACAAATTTGAGTTCAAAATGGTTTAAACTGTGTGAAATGAGGATGAGACCACATTCTGCCTCCACTTCCCCCAGTTACCGGAGAGGCAGGAAATCCTGTGCTAGGAAAAAAGAAAGGGTATTTGTTCATCTAGTTGGAGGTGAGATGAGGTGACCTTTAATATCTCTGCCAATGCCACAATTCCATGATTCAAAGCCAGCTAATTCTTTTGGATGAAGAGAGGACCTGAAAAAGGTAACAGCACTCACATTGGAAGGGTGAGTTTCTAACAGGGCTCATGTGGCCGTGATGCTCAGGGGAGAACAGGCAGAAAAGTGGAGACGAATGAATTAATGATGATCTCAAAGTCTCTCTGACATTGCCATTTTTAGCAACTGTCAAGCACCTTGTAAGAGAACACACTGTCTTGAGTCTTGATCGTCAATAGTGACAAATGTTACTAAAGAGCTATTCCAGGAGCAACCTTACTCAATTTTTATTATTGTTTTCACCTCAAATTCTGACAAATTCCTTCTCTAAACTGCTAACATAATTACGTTATCAGAAATGACTAAAATGCTGACCCTTAAAGCAGCATTTCTCTAAAAGTGAGTATAATTTCTAGTAGGTAGGTAAGGAAATATATGATGAGAGACTGGGTGTGCGTGTGTGTGTAAGGTGTTTACTCGGGAAGGCTAAATATAAGTAATCTTAAATAAATTATTATAAATAAGTGCAATTTACCTTATAAAAAATGCTAAAGGGAGTATATCTGGACCTATTTCTTTTCCATGGCAGAATGGGATATGACTCAAAAAGTTAGCAATGTTTCCCCAAATATTCCTGCATTCTATCAATGTAATAGGTATCTAAAAATTAAACATTCCCAAATTTATACTTTAGGCCTTTAAACCTTAAGAGGGTGTGGTATAATAAAAACATGCACTTGGATACATTTGGTCTTTTCTTTTCTCCTTATTCCTGGCACAGAGCTCCGAAAACTCCCGAAATTTCCTTAGTAATAGGAGCATCTTTTATTTTTCACAAGGAACCCCTGTGACCACACCTGGATTTATGCTAATGAGGTGACCCTTGGGGCGACTAGATAACTTTAGGGTGGGGGCTGGTCACTAGAAGGACTAGAACTTTCCAATTCTCATTGGAAGCTCACTCAACATTTTCATTTTTTATACTGAAAAGGCAACTAAATGTAATGTGCATGAAAGATCTCATTTTTCCCTGCCATGCCCACAATCTTCCCCTAGTCAGTTGCTAGAAACTCCATTCTTCCACTTGCTCAGGCCCAAACTCCTGGAGTCATCTCTGACTCTCCTCTTTTCTCCCATTCCCAATCTGGAACTCCCAAGGGCTCTGTCTTCAAAACAGATTCAGAATCTGACAACTTCTTCCACCTTCACTGCTCCCCACTGGCCTCAGCTACCATCACCTTTTTTCCCCCAACTGTGGTAAAATACATATGACACAAAATTTCCCGTTAGTGATATTTAGTACATTCACATGTTTTGCAACCACTGTTACTATCTAGTTCCAGAACATTTTTATAACCCCAAAAGGAAACCCCAGTCCCCTCAGTCACTCCCTGCTCCTCCCTCCAGCCCCTGGCACTGCTAAATCTGCTTTCTGTCTCTACGGATTGCCACCAAGTCCTGACTGGATCATCGTGAGCCTCCCAACCGGTCTTCTCACTCCTCATTCACCCCAGCCCTCGCTGCAGTGCTCAAAGGGTGAAGCAGATCACATCACAGATTTGCTCAAAACCTCTGCCAGCTGCTTATCTCACTCTGAATAGAAGCTCTCACAGCAGTCTCCAAGGCCTGCCCACGTCACCTTCCGCCATCCCCTACTGCTCTCCTCGTCCCTCACTCTGCTCCAGCTACACTGGCCTCCTTGTGATCCCTTGAATACCCCAAACACACTCAGGGCTTGCAACAGACGTTCCCTCTCTGGCAACGCCCTTGCCCCAGACCTTTATGGTTCCCATCATCACTGCATTCAGGTCTTGGCTCAAATGTTGCTTTCTCAGTAACATCTTATTATAAAAACCATGACACCACTCCGCTTGGGGACTGTAATTCCCCTTACCCTGCATTATATAATTCACTTGTTTGTTTTATTTTTTTGTCTATGCTCCTCAGCCCCAGAATGAAAGCTCAGTAGGCCAGAGAGCTTGTCTGTTCTGTTCCCTCCTATCCCTTCCCTAGAGCAGTGCCCGACACAGTCAGGTGATATTTGCTGAGGGCATGTGGGGCTGAACAGCAGGTCTCAGGTCTCAGAGGGGCAGAAGAGGGTCCCTGCTGCCCTTCATCCACCAACTCCCTCTGACCTGTGGGGGCCTTTGATGATGAGGGGGTGGCCGTGCCACAGACCACACAGAATCACTGGTCAAGGAAAGCACCGCCCAGAGGTCCTCACCAGGGATGACTGGTGGCGGTGGCGGGTGTGACTTCCCTTCATCTCACCACTAACACACCCAGCTCCATCTTTCCATCCTATCCTGTTGTCCAGATTGGCCCCAGAGAGGGGCAGGCAGCCTTCCGGAGGCCTCCCCGCACCTGTTGTTGTCCACGTAGCGGATCAGCATGGGGTAGAAGGCGTAGAGATCCCTGCAGAGGACAGCGAACTCATCCAGGATGAGGAGCTCCGCCTCCTGGGTGTCGCCTTTGCCATCAGCTCTCAGCTGCTCCTCCTCCTGCACCGTTTTGACGGCCTTTTTCTTCAGCTTCTCCAGAGTTGGGATGAAGTGGCTTCTCAGCAGGTCGGGCCTGGCTTTGCTGATGATCGGCTGGGCGTACACTGCATTTGCAAACAAAGGGCGTTCCCTCGTGTCACACATTACAATAACTGATGAAAATGGGAGAAGTGGTACTGAGAGGTGGGGCTATGGCAATCCCATCACCTCAGGATGGAACCTGCCTCTTGCTGCTTTCCTGAATCTTCCCCTCGGCACTTCCCTCTCATGAAGCCACAGCAGGAGTGTCTGTGTTTGGGGGGGGGGGCAGCTTCAGGAGAAGGGCCCTATCCCGGCTCTGCTACTCCAGCCCACAGGGAGCCCTGCCACCCCGGACTCCTCATGCATGGCCGATGCCACACCTGTCAGTGCCCCTAACAGACTCTCTTGCATCATTTCATAGTCTGCTCACATTGGCTTGGGCTCTTGAGCTACATTTTCAACTCCCTGAAGGAAGCCTTTTGTTCATATTAACCAGTACTATGCTGAGCCAAGGGCAGGCACTCAATATGTGCTTTCTGGTTATTTTATAGAAAAGTCTGTTGTTAAAAGCAAATTATCCCAACTACAGTTCTCAGCTCCCAATATTTGAGAACTGCCATCCTACTGCCTGCAGGCTTCTCTGGGGCCTGAGGGAGGCAGATAATGCTGATAACAGCTATAAATGAACAGAAAAGGCTGGAGTGATCACTAGAAGAGGAAATGCAGAACGAGCAATCACTGGGGCTGCCATTTTGGCCTTCTTAAAGAGAAAGAGAAAGCCTACATGTCTACTCCACTTCTTATATTCTATTGGTCAGATATTGATTATCCTATTATGAATTAGACCAATAGAACATCCTATTCCATTGGTCTTTTTTAAAGATGACAATCAGAGAAAATAAAACAAGTGAAATAAAATAAGAGTCATGAACCATTGACAAGTACATCTGAATGTATATTTCAAAGTTTCTTTAGCTTAGGGCATTTCAATGGGAAACAGCTTACATTCAAGTAATTTTTCTTTCTAATCTTGCTTTCTCTTATTTTTTACTTTTATAAGAAGGACATGTTTAGAAAAAGATTAAGGGAGCTCTCTGATGAGATGCATTAACCAAGAAGTTGTGACTCATCAGCCCTCTCCAAGGCACAGCCCTGCTTCTGATCTGTAATGAGAATGGCTATACCTGACGTGGGTGATTTGGGGTTACTATTTAAAATTGGTATTGTTTAGTCACCAGGAATTAGGTGAGGTCTGGATTCACCTGTGGAATAATAGGCCAAACTTCAATTTTCATCAGTGTCCCTTGCGCTTTGACACTTTTCCTCCTTGTACCTCTAGGAAGTGAGCAAATTCTTTGATTCCCTTCCTTCCATTAATTCAGATATACCAATTAGAGCTCATCAAAAGGTTGTCTTGTCTTTTTCACACAATCATCTATATTTTGTAGTAGTTTTAGGTTTATAGAAAAATTGAGCAGAAAGTACAGACATAAGAAAACAACAAAAAATTGCCTTATGGTTAACAATATTTTAGGGCTGATGGGTAAGAAAGAAACACCAACTCTATTTACTCATACGTTCACAGAAGCCTATGTTATCTAACAGCCATCAGCATCCAAAGCATTTACGATTTCGACCTCAGTTCATTTTTGAGACAGGAAAGGGGCAGGAAATTTTCTTTCTTAGTCTTGCAGAAGGACACTTATTCATTTGTCCAGGAAGGAAAATACCCAGTGTTGGGTTAATAGCTCCCTTTAGTCTAGCCATTGGTCCAGGACATTATATGGGTGAAGCTGTTACTTGTGGACTCCACTATCTACACTGTAGGCCCATCAAACCCAATGATGTTGTTTTAGCTATTGCCTCCTCAGACTCTAGTTTGACATAGAGCACACTAAATATTTGTGGTTTCCTGACTGTGGAAAGTATGGCTATTCACTTTCCAAGCCTGTCACTTTTTGAGTTTCCTTCAGCAGCAGAAAATTGGCTAATAACACTCATTAACAGCCTACTGCATGCAAGGACTTTTAGAGGGGTATGAAAGAAAGAAACAAAAACAAAGCAAAAATGAAGTGCTGCTACTGTGAACTTGCATTAGAGAGTGTCTAAAAAGCATCAGGTGAACTAGAAGTGCAGAGCAGTGTTAAGGAACTTACAGTCAGCCCAGAAGGGAGTGAGTTTTATACATGTGGAAAATACACAGGATCACTCACCAAGAAAGTTATGGACAATTACTACCGTAAGAGCAAATGGAGTTATGAAATACCAAAAGGAAATAGAGCAGTGGTCATTGGCGCTGAGTGTTTATCATTTGTGGGGCCTGAACTAGTAGGAGAGTGGGTAGGAGCGTTTGCTCCAGGAACCTCAGGAGAAAACATCGATTGTTTTTACTCTTAAGCAACTGGGGTAGCAGAAGGGGGAGGTTTAAAGATCGAACAGAGCTTGCTCAAAACCATTATGGATGCTGTGGACTGACTGAATTGTGTCTCCCAAAGTCCATATATTAGAAGCTTAATTCCCACTCTAACTGTTAAGGCGTGGGAAATCCTATTATGGTAATTGAAAAGAGGTGATTAGATTGTAGGACCATGCCATAGAAAATGGGTTAATAATGGCGTCAGGGGCATGGTTCTGAGGGCTTTAAAAGCAGAGCACTTGAGAATCTCTCTCTGCTCTGCCACCTTCTGCCATGTGAGACCCCTGGCTCACCGTTGCCACCACCAAGGCCTTCACCAAATGTGCTCCCTGGACTTTGAACTTCCCAGCCTCTGAAACTATAAGCAATAAATTTTGTTTTCTTTATAAATTACTCAGTTCCAAATATTTTGTTATAAGCAACAGAAACAGACTAATAGAATAGAATAAACAAAAGAGATGAAAAGAGAATCCAGCTCTCTTGGTCCCTATGCCAGGGACTGGGAAGAAAGGCACTGGTACCTGCAATGCGCTTCATCCAGGAGGCCTCATCAATGCCCAGGTTGTTGTTGATGATCTTTAGAATATTGCCCAGGATGAGACTGAGGTGCTCAGAGGTGACCTTGGTGCAGCAGGGTCCTGTGCTGGGAGGAAGGTGCTCAGGTCCCCTCTCCCACCAGTAGGACAGGTAGTTGCAGAGCATGGGCAAGATGACCTCGATGACGTGGGGCATCTCTGTGTACCGGGCCCCAGACTCAGACAGGTCATTGATTTCCTTCATCAAGCCTTCCAGCTGGGGGATGTCAGGACACATCTCTTCCACCATGTCCGGCATCCCCAGAACTGACCGAGAGGGCACAGGAAGAATAGAGGGACAGTAATTCAAAAGAACAATGGGTGCAACCTTCTCTCCCTCCATCCCCCCTTCCTTTGGTCTTTAGACATAACTTTCCAGAGCCTCATGGGATAAACATGGATGTGGAGCGGCTTTTGTCCTCCAGCTGTCTGTGTACAGCTGTGGAGCCTTCAGAGGCTGTGGATCTTCCTATGTTATACTGAGGTTAAAACACTTAGACATATGATGAAAGGAGCAAAACAGAGACAGGGCTGAGGCACAGTTCCTAAGATTTCTCTGTGATAAAGCCTGTTTCTTGGTTTCTTCCTCTTGGCCAGCCTGTCTGCCTGGGCCTTAGTGTGTCCATTGCAGGAAAGGCAGTAATAGGAGAAGAAAAGCCACAGTGTTTGGTTGAAAAATCATGATTCAATCACCTGAATCATATCTGTACTGTTTAGAAACAGAAGAACAAAATCCTTTCACCAAATATTCCTTTGGCTGGACCAAAGAAAATAATACTGTCCATCCAGCTGAAACTTTCGGGAAAAAAAAAATCACATATACATCGATTTCTGGCTTCAGAACAGAAATTATCAATGACTTGAGGTGACTTGATTGACTTCCTGTCAATCACTTAAACCTTTTGTTTCTGAAGGCTTATTTAAAAGGAATAATGAGTTAGCCCTATCTTGTCCTCACCCTGAATGATTGAGGTCACTTCACTGGACAGAAGGAGTTCAACATGAAACCAGGGAGGGTTGTCAGATACAAGGATTGGAAACAGAAGAAACTGAGGGTTAGCTGTCCTGCTCCCCTGATGGTAAAGGACATTCTTCCCTGCAAGACAGGAGGACCAGAAGCATCCTGAGGTTTTTGACAGGTGAGAAGATAACAAGGGCTCTGAGCAGAGGGACAGAGGACGGTTCTGAGTAAGCAGCACAAGCCCAAAGCTTTGCACATCCACCCACTGATCTGACTGTTCCTACAGAATCTGCCCGGGCCCAGGAGGCAGATCACGTGTGTGCTTTACCCTCAGACCAAACTTCTCAAACTGGGGCAAAAGTATCAGGTGCCACAAGAGCTAGGGAGTCCAAGAAGCCACAGGAAAAATGTGGAGTATTTTCTCAGAACACTGGTTTCACTAGAAGATTTCAGAAAATCATTTTTGATGTTAGGAGCAAAATACAATGTTTTTATGAATATCCAAGGACAAAGCAGAAGACTTTAAATAAAATTTGTCTAGTGAATTGGGTTATACCTGCAGGCCGTTTGCCATTGTGGTTACTAATGGCCTGAGGTCTCTCCTTTCTAGATTTTAGATTCAAAGGAGTTGAAGGGTTAACAGGAATGGCCACACCAAATTCCTGACCCTTAAGAATACTGGCCAGTTGAAAGGGACTGTTCTGACTTCTCCCACAGTTGTACTGCCTGGAGCAGAAGTAAGAATAATCCTGGCTGTCTTGGAGAAAACAAATCTGCAGTTGAGACAAGCAGTTCTTCTGGGATGGATGTGCAGCTGCAAAGCGATGGACCTGCAGCAGCCTCTATGCTGTGGAGCTGGCCCAATGAAGCCCTATCACCATTCCCTAGTGATGACTTCCTGTTGACATCACTATAGCTTTTTGATGGATGGAAACTAAAGATCTCTTTCCCTTGGAAGTCAGGAGCAGACCAATGTCTTTTAAAATCCAGGCAATTCAGGGCTGACCCCGTGGCGCACTCGGGTGAGTGCAGCGCTGGGAGTGCAACGACGCTCCCACTGCGGGTTCGGATCCTATATAGGGATGGCCGGTGCACTCACTGGCTGAGCGTGGTGTGGGCGACACCAACCCAAGGGTTGTGATCCCCTTACTGGTCACACACACACACACAAAAAAGCTAAAATCCAGGCAATTCAAAGGAAAAATAGCATGAAAGCAAACAAACCCTGAATTTCTTTGGTTTTCAGTAGAAGGGAACTATATAGGTCAGATATGGTCCATTGCCAATGTCAGTCACCCAAGGGTTGTGATCCCCTTACTGGTCACACACACACACACACAAAAAAGCTAAAATCCAGGCAATTCAAAGGAAAAATAGCATGAAAGCAAACAAACCCTGAATTCCTTTGGTTTTCAGTAGAAGGGAACTATATAGGTCAGATATGGTCCATTGCCAATGTCAGTCATTTGCAGAGAAGGAGTCTATCCTGCATCTTGCAGCAGAACAACAATAGTTCTGGGTGACAACAACATGGGAGTCTGGAGAGACACTTATAAACAAAAAAGTTTTACACATACACTCTCAGAGTAATTAGGTAAAGGCAGTGAAGTCAAACTTTCTACCTTGAGGCTCTGCACACAGAACAATGCCAACTGCCACAGATGCAACTGAATTTGTAATTATGTGCTGTAAGATTATAAATGAGAAGACTCTGTGTGTGTGTGTACATTTAAATGTCACTGACAGTACATCATCATGGACTCTTTCTTTTCTGCCTAAGAAAAACACAGAGTTGCTTGAGGTTGCTGCACTGGCAGTCATCATAATGACCTTTAAAAGTTATTTATATGTAATCGGTCCTTGAGTGGAACAAATATTTGCAATTCAGAAGGTGTTTTGTACTTCAAATGCCACATAATAACCCCACAGAATGAACTCTGCTGAGTTAGCTACCTGAAAACCAGCCTTAGCTGGGTCCGATTAGAATTGGACACAAGATCATTGGGGAGAGTCATTAGAACTGTCTTTTCATCTTCTGGATTAACAGTTCTCAAAGTGGCGCCCTCCCACCAGCAGCATCAGCATCCCCTGCAACCTTGCTAGAAATGCCAGTTCTCAGGCTCCACTCCCTAGAGTTAGAAACTCTACAGGTAGGGCTTAGCACACTTCAACAAGCTTTCCAGGTGATTCTGATGCATGTTAGAGTTTAAGATCCACTGGGTTAGACTCTTAGGTCCTATTTTCTTCACTTCTCAGCTCTTCCCTCAAGAAGACAGCATCAAAGAACACCAGAAATACAGGCAGATGGCTTACACTGGAAGTGGACCTCTTTTCTCTTTGAAGGTATGGAAGGCTGGTGACAGGGTGTTTTGGTCAATCCAATATTCTGATTAATAGACCACTGTTTAACACAACCAAGAATTTATCTAGTTTTGAATAATTGGCACATAACAATGTTAAACCTCTTCTAGGCATATCTTAGTAACTTTTGGATGAGTAAGAAAATGCTCTAGTATCTTGTAGGGCATTGGAGATACTAATATTAGTAACTCTGCTGGCAAAGTACCAAATGTCAAGTAGGAGATGTCCAACTGACTGAAGCCCTGATAAGTCAGTACATACTGTATTTCTAAACCACAGGCTCACATCATTCATCACCCTATACATCCCCACCCACATCCCTCAGGCCACCCACTTAGTAATGAGTGAAGTCTACATTCTTATAGTCTATTAAGCCATCATTAGTCATTCTCTGGTTTCAGGTAAGCCTGCTTATCCCAGAATACATATTCACACACACCCTACTCTTCAAGAGCTATGCACATGGTCAGCATTTACTCTTCTGATTAATCCAGTGATGAAAAACACAGGCTCTAGGGGATTGGGTGTTGGACGATCACTGATGGATGAAGGACTATGTCATCTCTAATCACAACCTTGTCTCCTTTCTTCTTTCGGAGTATGCAATGATTAATATGCATTTTTTATTTATGAATATGTCTTATTAAGTCAATGCAAAGGTATATAAACATTTTTCCAATAGCCCTTGGAAAGGAGAAATATGGAAGAGTCATTCCCCTCCCTCCCAAAGCCAATGCGGATTTTCCACTGTCTCCATCACATCCTCCTTTTGTCCTGCAAATGCACCTCTATGAACTGAGGAGCAGAGTAGGTTTATCCCTTTCCTTGGGTGCAGTTCTACACTACAGAGACAGTGGTGATACAGAGACAGACAGAGATACACTATTTCCCAAGTCTCAATTGGAGCAGATCTGTCATGACTGGGCCCCAGGTCCCTTGGGAGCTGGAGAACAGCACTTGGGCTGGCATTTGCCTGCAGATGACATGGCCACTTCTCAACTTCACTAAAGCCGGCCCTGTTGCTCAGCTCCCACTCTAGCAGCAAAGCTGTGACTCGCTTGGAATCATGAGTGGGCAGAGAAAAACAAGGTCGGAAATACATTTTTTGCTAGGCTCAAAGGAGAAAAAGGGTGAGATGAGGCTGAGGGGGGTGGGAAAAGGTGAACTTACAGACTTCATGTGGGACTTTGGAAAGTTGAGGCAATGTTTCTCTCTTGAACAGCTCTGAGAACACTGGTCTCCACTGTATTCTAACTTAGTAAGGAATTGTTTTAGCGCCCTTATCTAAATTGTCCTGGTGATCATTTCTGGGGCAATGTGCTCCTGTCATCTGAAGTAAGGACAAGCAAGCAGGAATAAAGCTACCATGGCTTAGCCCGCTGCACTCAGATGAGAAGAAAGTGGTGGCAGAGAGGCGTGGCATGGACTCTCTCTCTCTCAAAACTCTTCTCCCTTAGGGTCTCATGGCAGCTAGAGAAGGAGGCTTGGACTAAATAGAGTTGCTGCGAAGCCTAGCCATCCACTGGTACTGTACATTGGAATAGGCTCCAATCACAGTCAGCTACTTACCTGTCCTGGTGAGTTACAGTGTGATGTCAGTTCCCAAGTAAGGGGAATATTTTTTTTTCAAATAAACCAGTAATGTGAGTCCTTCGTTAGATCATGATACAAAGATGAGAGGAAAATGCAGACAATAGGTCTATAATTAAGAATTGGATTGGCACACGGAAAAGAGACATTCAGAGAAAGTGTGTGCCCCGTACAAGGACAGTAGAGCTGTGACTCAAACTCAGATCTGACTCTGAAGCCTATATTGATTCCTCTACCCCATTCCCCAAAATCATAATTGTCTTATGAATATAATTTAACTATTAGTTTTTTATGTAGCAATTTTGTGACATTCGATGTTGTTAATTTGTAGTTTTAATTTTTAGATATGTGAAATGCAATTTTAATTCAGATTTGCTTTCCAAATACAACCCAAGACAATATAAGCAATATAATATGCAGAAATGAATAATTATCTGATGAATTCAATCAATTTGTAAAGTTCAAACCCAAACTTTAAAAAAAAAAAGAAAGAATTGGATTGGGTTTATAGTGTTCAAACCCATCTGGCTTATAATTTTTGCTCCAGATTACACCAAATCATTATAGTTCTTTCTAGAGTCCAAACTTGATTCAAGGTACCTACTTGAAGCTTCTCTATTCTATGTCACTGCCCTTAAGCAGTATCACAATTAATCCACATATGAGGACCTTCCCTTCCACTCCCAGAGGCAGGTTTACAACCTGCCTTGGATTTTAGTTCCAGGTTATTCTATAATAGAGAGTAAAAAAAACTTCTTCTGTAGAGGGCCAGACAGTAAATATTTTAGGCACTGCAGGTCAGTCTTTACTGCCTCTACTCAACTCTGACAATACAGTGCTAAAGCAGCCATAGACAATATGTAAATGAGTAGGTATGGTTGTGTCCAATAAAACTTTATTTATAAAAATAGGTAGGGGGCCATATCTGCCTCGTGGCCATAGTTTGCAGACCCTGTTATAGAACTTTAGTGTGTCAATGCTCCTGTTAAAAAATTCTTTTTCTTGTATAATTTCAAGTAGGTATGGTTGTGTCCAATAAAACTTTATTTATAAAAATAGGTAGGGGGCCATATCTGCCTCGTGGCCATAGTTTGCAGACGCTGTTATAGAACTTTAGTGTGTCAATGCTCCTGTTAAAAAATTCTTTTTCTTGTATAATTTCACTTCCTCCTGATGTTTTTCTGTGTCTTATCTTCCATGAAGACAGAGAATATGTGGCCAGCATTCTTCAAAGCACAGCCTCTCCTTGGACTTGAAGACTATAAATAAATTACTGGTGTGGATGTGCCCATTCTGATGCCACTCTGGAGAGGGACTGCAAAAAGGTAGTTGTGTGCCCAGGTGTAGAAGGACAATTGAGACCCAGGACAGACAAGAGACCCTGTGATCTTAGGATAAAAGAGATAGAGAAATCAACTACACTGTCTCCTCATTTTACAGAAGCCAAAGCCTAATGATAACAAAGTCTGGCCCATGCTCATTTCTCCAATAAGATGGAGATGTGCAGCCGAGTCCCTAACTCTGAGCTTCTGACCCCTCTTGGACCATGTAAAACAACAGTGCTGTAGGCCTGCTGCTCCTGCCTGGGTGGCCTTCCCAGCTGCTCTCTTCTCAGCACATGGGATGGGTTGATGATGTCTGTGGGAAGATACTTACTGGACCTCTCCCTGGGGGTTTTGGTGTTGAAGACCGAGAGTGGATTATAGCGGTTAAGGGTGGGCTCCAGGAATGCCACTGGTATGGCGGCTGCCAGTGAAGCCAGACATTCTCCAAGGGCAGGACGTTGCCTGGAAACAAAGAAGTTCATTTAGAAGTGATGCCACCCACGTGCTGGCTCCAAGCATCGGCGGGCCAGGCCCCTTTCCTGGGGTGTCTCAGGCCACTTCCCCATAGATGAACCCACTGGACATCCTGGGTCCTGGGCTCGGCAAAGTTGCATGCATTTCTCCCTCCCCCATCTCTCTCCAGACACTGACCAATAGTTTAAAATGGTCTCACTACTTGGAACCTAGCTCTGAACTGGCTAAGGTGATAGAATACAGTACAGCTTTGCCCCTCTCTCCAGCATGTCTAGGAGCAAGTTCTGCTGATACCCAAATTGAGATTGATCCTTCTTGCTCTCAAAGTGCTTTGAAATCTTCTGCATAATTTCTCTCCGTCTACTCTCTGCTCTGGATGGAGCCTCTGTCCACTCGTGGGAACAGGAAATAACAGGCCAAAGCATCAATAAGATGCAAAATAAAAGATCTGTCTTACAGTAGAAACAATTGTCTGTAAAGCCTATTTCTTGATTTAGAGGAGAAAACCTCTAACACCTATTACTCCTCTCCCTCCCTTCTACAAATAATTGAGTGTTTTAAGCTCTAGCTTTTAAGTCTATCTGTGAAACAAGCAAATAAACAAAAAATGCTTGGGATTCCTAGCTCAGATTCTGAGTTCTCCAACTGAGAAGACTCATACTTGCTTGCAGGGTAACCACATCTCCGTGCTTAGGGACTGGCTGGTCAAAGCAGAGCTAGGACTGAAACAGCACTTCTTCTTCCCACTAAGCTGGGCTTAGTTTGGGGATTGTACCTCATCTATGCTGGTGAGACAAGATGGTGAGTGTGCTGGCTGGAAGGGCCCTGTCTGGGAGCTAGCATCTGTTGCTTTCAGATGAATGAGAGACCAGAGCCATCCGTTTATCACCCATCCACGTCTCTCTCGGCCACTCACTGGCATCCAAACACAGACAAATTACACACCTGTCCTGAGAGCTACACCTGTGATATCAGTTCCCAAATATATGGAAAATTTTTTTCAAATAAACCAGTAATGTGAGTCCTTTGTTAGACCATAACGCAAAGATAACGAGTGGGGAATGCAGACAACAGGTCTATAATGAAGCATCGGGCGGGGTTACTGTACCCATGCCCACCTTGTGCCTCATTCTGCCCTCCTCTGTGACTGATCAACAGTGACTGAGCACTGATGCTGTGTATATCATGTCCTCCCACAGAGTCCCTGCAGCTGAGGGGGTTAGGCTGAAGCTGGGGGGATGTTACAGGACCATTACAGGGACAACTGACAGCTGGAGAAGGGGCACATGGAACCCAGAGCCAGTGCTCCCCACCCCACTGCAATTCTGTGGAAACAGAAAGACACTCCACTCTCAAGGGTTCCCTTCAGCACACCACTAAGACATGTACCCAAGACTTTGTGTTAACTGCCCCTGACTGTGGCAACAGCTAACAATCCCAGCAGCACCAAGAAACCAGAATGTCAAAAGCACAGATTCTGTGAAAGTGGGTAACGAGCATTTACTATGGGGGGAGGGCTGAGGAAAGCCGTTCTTTTACTGAGGAGTCACCACACAGTCTTAACTGTAACCTCTGTCCTCCAGGTGGTGGAAGCCCTTTCCCACCAAATGCAGAGCAAATACAGAACCTGTGTTCTATATAGGACCCTGAAGTCATGTGACCAAATAACATATCTTCATGGGACAAATCATAAGGATTAGAATCAACCTGCAACTTTATTATATCATGGAGAAATAGGTATACCTGAATTGAAATAAATATGTGATCTTAACTGGTCTTGAAAAAATGACTGGACAGGACTGTCTGGATAGAATCAGAATCTGCAGGGGGCGAGCTTGAGAGTGTGCAGAACCTGTTGCATGAGGTGCAAGAGAAATCTGCGGGCCTGGCGAGGGGAAGGAGGGAGAGGGTGGGCGAGCTGGCAAAAAGTTGTATGGTCCTTGGAAAATCCACCCAGTCTTCATTCAAGTTACTAAACTTATGAAAAAGGTGATGTTTAAAATTACTTTAATGAAACAATATATGTGGTGTCATTCCTTATCTTCTTAGCCTTGGCTCTTAGGGAACTAGCTGACAGCTTATTTGGCCATGACGTATTTGAGCAGAGAACTTTAAAATCATCCCCCAACAAGCAACAGTGCATGGACAGGTCCTCAGTCCGGCAATCACCTCTTAGCTAGCAGCACAGCCGTGTTCCTCTGATGAAGGTTTGACTGTCACAGCCCATCCACCCCGGTCTGCTCCGGAGGCAGAGCAGCTGTCTCTGGATGAGACAAACCCCACAACGTCCTGTGTATTCACACGGCTCTGGGTCCCACTGGAAGCATGTCGGGGTGGAAGGAGAGGGAGGCTGTGGACACTCCTGAGACCTGGGTGTGCTTCTGGAAGCTTCTACAATGCTGCCTCACTTCTGAGGAGGCCTAGACCAGGCCTGTCTCCCCCACCTTTCCTTCTCACCACCTGTTGTTCTCCGATTATTTCCCTTCTTTGCCAAGCTCAAGACAGTGGACAGGCATGAGAAGAGGGCCACCTCTTCAATGTCAGACATGAGTGGCCAGTGCCCTCAGTGACAACAGATGACAGTGAGGCCCTCTGTACACCAGGTATGAGGACCCACAGGGTGCTGGTTTTACAGCTGGTCAACCACAGTTGCCACTGAGGAGAAATAGGGCATTTCCCCCCTTCAGTCTTGTCCCTGGGAGGAGGAAATAAGGAGATAAATCGTGAAGGGAAAGAAGAGCCATGCAGAGAGCACTGATGAGAGAAAATCTGGGCAGAAATCAGGGATGACATGGGCAAGATCTCAAATGTGGGAGCAAATTTTAGTGGGCCCAGGGAGATGAACCTGGGAAACAGACAGTCCTGAATTGCCTTGATACTAACTTGATCCACTCTTTCCCTTTTATTTCTCTCTTACCAAAATTAAAATCATGATTTTAAGGCGATCCTTGGGGCAAAAGGCAGTTGAGAAGTCTCAGTTCTCCAGTGCTGCACTGACTCAAGGGACATGGCCCTGTCTTCTCTGATATTAATTGCTGACAAACCTGAGTCTCAACAAGCTACACAACAGGGCATTTTCTAGTCTAGAGTACATGATGATGCTAATTAGCTGCTGTGCTAAGAGAGATAAATAACAGCTCCCCTGGCCTAGCTGTTAAAATTTCTGCACTGTAAAAGGAAAGCCCAGAAGTCTGCCAATGAATGCTCCTGGCTGTGAAATATCAGGGTGAATGACCTTGGCCCCAGGCCCAAGGATGGACTGAGGAAGGTGCAGGCCTGCTGTTATGACGTTCTGTGGTCATCAGCGCCCCCCAGGGGGCAGTTTGGGCATTGACCAAGCTTCCGAGCAGGGCAAGGGCTCCAGCCGGAATCAGCTCCACAAGAACCAGAAAATCTACTTGAAGAGTTTGTCACTGGATATGGAAACTCCTGTTGTCGTCTCCACTCTTATGTCTAGTACAGTGCTTCTCACAGAACAGGTACTTGGTCAGTGGTGACAGACTAAAGAGGACTCAATTAGTATTTAGGTTTTTGTTACTTCCTAATCTGACAAGTACCAGGGTTTCCTTGTCCGTCTCTCAATTTTATTTTCATGGATCTGGACCTCGCCTCTAACATGTTCTTTATCAGGGACATAGGCAAAGACAAAGCCATCACAGTAATAATAATAATAATAATCGATGACATTCTCACCACTGTCTCAACGAGAGAATATTCCAAAAGAAATGTCTCTGCTCGGTTCCAATGACTTTCCCCCCTCACAGTCAACCCTATCACCACGGTGGATGGAATCTTTCCTATCCACAAAGCACACTCCAGGTATAGTTGGAAACCAAATATTTGGTGATTCCTTATATCCCCCTAAGGACATTCATTATCGAGGAAACTTCAGAAAGAGGTGATAGAGAAATGGTGGGATTACTGCACTTTCCTCACTAAAACCCACAAGAAATGAGGGAAAAAACTGAAAAGAAATCTGGATCTATACTGAAATTAGAAAATGTGTGATAACTTCAAACCATGAAGTATGGATCAAATCGAGTGAGAACACTGAAATGGAAATGTATATGCCAGACCTAGAAGAAACCACAGAAATCTCTGGAAATAAATATGGGGGTTTTAAAGGGGCCAAAATATGAGTTTTTGCTTGAAACAATGAGGATTAAGGGTGTGAATGGGCCATGGGAGACCTGCTGGGCAACATGTGTGTGGGCCAGGTTCCTACTGCAGAGTGGCAGATGGGACCAGAGCAGGTACACATGACACCTGCCATTCCTATGACCTTTACTCCTAGGCTGGAGAATCACTGGAGGTGAGGTGGAGGAGAAGAGTGGCAAGTAACCTGTTTTGTAGCTGCTGACCCGAGTTCTCTGAGTAGAGGATAAACATATTAAATCACTAAGCAAAAGTCCTATGACTACAGGATGCACTCAGAGTTTCACCATTCTCTCATCGGGGCCAGTGGCTCACATTGGGTGGGGGAGGACATCAGAGACCGAGTGTAGGTGCTTTGCTAGGGCTAAAGGCACTGCTGACTTAGTGCAAAAGAGTTAGTGCTGAGCCAGCTTCTCGGGTTTGAAGCTGCCTGCTGTTTCTTCACCATTCTCTTCCACTTACACACACACACACACACACACACACACACACACACACACTCCACATTCTCAAGAACTAGCAAAGTACCTAATGATCAAGAAATAGATGAGAAGCATAGTTCAGAGGAAGAATTATCCAGGAAAAAATACAGAAAATTTTTTCTCTATATACTCACAGAAAAGAAAGAAAACAAAAGGAGAATCAGTAACATGGAGGAACTTTGAGAAAATTCATACAGATGCTAAATGGTAAAGGACAATTAGCTAAAAGTTACTAGAGAGAAAATGAGAGATATGGAAGATTAAGGAAGGAAAAAGCCAATAAATACACATAATTGTGCTCCCTGAACAACAGATAAGAAAAAAACTTTAAACTATATAATAAAATAAAAGTTTGGTGACATATAGAAAGACCCAATTTTGAAAAGTGAAGGGGCACATGAAGCTCTGAGAAGAAGTGGAGGGGACTGATACGGAATATTCAACCGTGTGACACAGCATAGTGAGGCTGATGAGCTTTAGGACTACAGAGAGAATCCCATGAACAGCCCGTGTTCCCCTTCCAATGCATCACCTGGTCCAGGGAACACGCTTTGTCAGAATACAAAGAAGCAATGTCTATATGCTTTTAAGGGAAGAAAATTATGACCAAGGGGTTTATACCATAGAAATTGTTCACATATAAAAGTCAAGGGATCGTATGCAAGGACTCAAGAGTATCTAAGAGCTGTTGCAAAAACAACTACTTGATGAATCTGGCCAACCAAAAAAGATAAATCAAAATAAAAAATTTAGGAATGGTAAAGTTTGGTTCAAAAGGATTGGTGATGCACTGAATCATTTAAATACATATTTAGATAAACAACTCAGGGAACATTGATTCTAAAGTAGAATGTAAATGTTACAATAAATTTTATGACAAAAATGGAAAGGTAGAAAGAACAGGAGGTACCCAGGAATATAAATGTACTGAATTTGCTCATCTTTTAAAGCAGGGAATTAAAGGGATATCATATCTAAACAATGAATTTAAAAAATGAGTTCTATGATAAAACATTCAGTTTTATCTTTATCCAACAAGACAAAGTTGCAGAGCAATATAGATATTATTTATCATCTCACATGTGTAAAAATGTACATGTGCAGAAAACATACAGCACGGTGATATCTAAACAATGAATTTAAAAAATGAGTTCTATGATAAAACATTCAGTTTTATCTTTATCCAACAAGACAAAGTTGCAGAGCAATATGGATATTATTTATCATCTCACATGTGTAAAAATGTACATGTGCAGAAAACATACAGCACGGTGCATACCAAACTGTGATTAGTGGATTCCTTTGTGAATTGGATCTAAGTAGGAGGGTGGTCTGGGGTGAGGAAAATGGTAGACTTTTAACTTTACATACTTCTGTACATTAGATTTTTTCTTTTTTGAATAAGCACCTCTTTCTTTCGCAAGAAAAAAGAAAATAAACAAATAAAAACCATTAATAGTACCAGTATCTCAACTCTAGGATTTTAAATCTCCAATTCCTCAGTTGCTTGGTTAACCAACAGAGAGGTAATAGGGGCAGCCTTGACCTAGAGGCTTCTCCAAGCCTTGACTTCTACCAATACAGAGCACAAAACACAAGCACTAATCTTCACAGCACTGCAGATATGCAATAAACCTGGGATGAATATATGAATAAAGTATTAAAAAGTCATAGGAAGAGCAGTCTTTTTCTGGTTTGACATTTCAGAGTTGACCTTTCCTTGGCTTTTTTTTTATTTTCAAGAGAAGAATGCATAAGCTTTACAAAAAATTGTACAAAGAAACATGCACACACATATGGATGGATGGATATACACACATATAACCAGAGAGAATAAGAAAAGATATTAAGGAAATATTTACAAATGCTCAATGGAAGAAATGAATTAAAGACACCTTACGTACATGAAATTCAGTATTAATTTAAACAAATTTTATTGATTTCCCTGTTGATTAAAACTTCTGTCTGCCCATTTCCTATTCCTAAATGACAAAATGCCTTATTCACATTTTATGTAAAACAATAAGGAAAGCGAGGCAATTGTAAGGATGTACAATCATAACCAAAACAAATTTAGTCATTAGTTCCTCAACTAATTTCTTGAGCTCTGGAAGCTATTTGGAAGCTGTGATTATGAAGAAACCAACATTTCATCAACATTTTTCGGTGTGAAACACCACATGATTTCAAGTCATTAGTTTTTTAGTTTGTGAAGGAGCCAAGGTCTTTGTTTGTTTTATTGAGAAACTGCAATTTGAATCTATCTACGTTTTGACAAGAAACAAAGGTTTGTTAGTGGTTTGTTTGATAAAAGCATCATAAGTAGAGGCAGCATCTGAAAAGGAGATACCGAAGGATGTTCAGATTAAGTAATTTTAAGGACAGACTGAATTCCTTCTGGTTTGATTGTTTGAAAGGACAAAAGAGAAAAAAATAAGTCTTCCAAGGATAAGACTAAGTCCAGAGTTTTGTTAATACTGTGTTTATCCTTCTGATCTTCCCTATGGATTTGAACAGAACAACACAACGCAAGGCATTTGATGCTGAAAAGCAAGGGGTCACTGAAGGCCTCCCCTATGGCAGAGAAGCAAAGCTGGAACCCAGGCACCACTGCAAATAAGTTTGTTCAGATTCAAGATTACTGAACAGCATTTCTGCTACCAACCTGTGCACTTGTTTAAAACTATAGCTAATTTGACAGCCAAGAGTGGTCAAGGTCCAAAGTGTATCACATAGAAACTCATTAAACACTAAAGCAACTGCCTCATGTCCCTTGAGTTTTTCAGCAAGCTTTAACCGCAGGAACCCTGGAAGCTATTTGGAAGCTGTGATTATGAAGAAATAGATACATGTCTCACATCTTTTGGTTCCTAGCAAATGTTTTAGCTTGGCTATATTCTTCTGGCCACATACATTCACCAGCTACCTCCACAGAACTCATAAATCTCAGTACCTCATTACACTTCTTAATATTGCTATAAACATTTCATAGCCTAGGCTCAAAACCACTGTTCCATATCACTGAGCATTTTGGTTTTGCTGGATTGAAAAGATGTCATTAAGTGTTTAAGAAACTTTAAGTAACATTTTTTCTGAGCCGGAACTGTTAGCTTCTTTTGTTCACTAATTACCTTTCAACATAGATGTTCTTTCCTGTCCCAAGGGAGTAGAGGCTGCACAGTATGTGGTAGCATGAAATCTGCACGTCACTCACTGAAACAAAGAAGAGATGTCATTACTGCACGTCAATTGCAGCTGCACCTCCTGCACATGAAAAGGGTCCATAAAGAGAAAAAATACGGGCATGAGCCAAGAGGAGCTCTCTCTTTTTCTCTTTTTTTAAACAAATGTAGCTCTTGTCTACCCAGATGAGATGCTAGTTTTCTAGTTGCTAACTGGGAGAGAAAACACTGATAGGAAATATTCCCCATCAAGCCATCCCAATTCCTTTGTGGGGCTTATAATGCAGATCACATTGCTTCACAGGAAAGGAATCATCTGACCAATGGATCCTTCCACAATGGGATTATTTTTTCAATAGAGAGAGACATTATAGTCAAATTTTATTCAGTGCAATATTTCTTTCCTTTGGAAGAAAGAATGTAGAAAACCTGAAGCTTGAGTCTTTTGCCCATTTCCCAGGAAGATATGTACAAGAGCCCTATCTTCTTCAGAGACATAGCAAAATTCCTCATGTCTGTCTATCCGAAGTTCTCAACTGTGTGTTTTTCAAAAGGCAATGCAATCATATCACGAATTTACCATGTTTCCTAAGGGAAGGAGGGAATGACCTGCTTAGAAACTCATAGAGTTTAATCTGGAGGCTACATGCCCTGCCCCTACCCATGTCTGGAACACATGTCAAGACTGTGACTACTTTAACACAATCACAAATAATTTAATGTTTTATTTTCAACCAAGAGATTACATTGTTTCCATGACACAAAATAATGAGTTTAGATGTCTTCCC